AGATGGCAGGGGGGGGGACACGGGGCACCCCCTGGGGGACCATCCGCCACCTGAATCCGGGGGCTGCCGGTTCCTCTCGATCTTCCGGATGTCATCGAGGGTGACGCCGTCCTCGCTGAAGAGCCCCCCGTGCATGATCTGGGCCGGAAGGCACAACGGTAGAGGGACAACGGGGACAACGGGGAGGGCAGGGACACCCCCTCACCACCCCCACCACCCACCACCCCCCCAAGGCTGGGGACAGCGGGGGAGGGGGTGGACGCGGTGTCCCCTCACCAGCACTTTGCCGTTGATGCACTGGGCCAACGGCAGCCACTCGAAGACCTCGCTGAAGAGGGCGAACATCTGCGCCGTGTACTTGGCCTTCACCTCTCCTTCGAAACCGTAGATCTGGTTCATGTTGTCCGTCTCGTGGTTCCCTGCGGGGACGCGGTGGCATTGTCAAGAAGACCCAGTGACACCGGGGCAGGGGACAAAGCCCCACGGCGCGGCGTCGAGGACAGGGAAGGAGGTGGCACGACCCAGGAGAGGGGACGAGGCACAAGGGGACAAGGACACGGCCCCACGGCTCAGCCCTGGGACTAGAGGTAGGGGACGTGGCCTCACAACTGGGGACACGGCCATCAACCCAAGAGGGGACAGGGGACACAGGACACGTCCCCACAACTAGGGAGAGGAGACCCAACCCCACAGCCCGGGACAGACGATGTGGCCCCATGAGCTGGTCCCACGGCCGAGGACATGGGACACGGGCATGGGACAAGGGCCCCACAACTGAGGCCACGGCCTCACAACTCAGGTGGAGGGGACAAGGACACGTCACCTGCGGTGGCCGCGTTACCTCGGAGAAGGTGGAAGTGATCCGGGTAGAGGAGTTTGAAACCGAAGAGCGTGAGGATGACCTCGACCGAGAAGGATCCGCGGTCCACGAAGTCCCCGTTGAATATCTACAAGCGGTTGAGGAAAACAGGTCCCCGGGTCCCCGTCCCCTCGCGCCACCCGTCCCCGCGCCTGTCCCCACCACGGGGTGGGGGATTGAGCCCGGTGACACCCCGGGGTGGGGGGGTGGCTCAAGCCCGTTCCCTCCTGGGGGATACGTAAGGGTTCGACTCGGAGGGCAGCCCGTTGA